TTTGTACCCAACTCTTTTTCGTTATCTCTTTTGTTTCCATAATTTTATCCTAGCGAATCGGATATCAACTGGTGCAACGTCACCAATCATTATTCCCACAGGTCAACCAACATTGTTTGCATCAACTAATGGAATAATCGAAACTTCGACAAGTAAGATAACATTCCAGGTCATTTCACGCAATTCACAAGCTGTTTATTTCGCACTGTCGATTACACCTAGATATGTTCTTCCATGATCATTCTGTGACGTGAAACTTGTTACTTTTTCTTATTTTTTTAGCAGTTTGCACAACGTTTTGCCAAAATGGTGGCACATGTTCAGGTAACTTTATTAAATTTTTGCAACAAGCATACTATAATTCTGAAAAACTTGCTTTCAGCATCTGATACTTGCACATGCACATCTGGCTATACAGGCAGTTTATGTCAAACGGGTGAGTTGTCATCGTTATGTGTGACTGTCTTTTTTCACAAAGTCGTCCGTAATTTGCTCGTTCGAACTTATTACAAGGCATATCCTTTTGCATAGGTGGTGTAATGGTGCCATTCCTTTGAACTGGCTTAAAACTTTAAGCGCTTCAAACACACATAGGAAAACCCTTTTTTATTTTACAGCTATTCGGATAAAACTTTCAGTAACTATGTCTCATAACAAATTCAACTCTGAAAAACGTTTTTGGCCTGTTACCTTGCTCTCAAAATAGCCATGTGTGTGACTTCTTGGGAGAACATAGTTGCAATTTTGAAGCCGTTTGAGCGACTACATGGCAGTTTTGAATGAATTAGGTTAAAGTCAGTTGTTAATACAGATGGACTAAGCGAAAAAGTATATTATCTCCACTGTGCTTTTCACTGCTGAAAAAGAGGCAGAGGTCGTCATTATGTGCTTACAATACTCAGTGCAATATCAACAACAAAACGCTGTGTTAAAATAACATCACAGCTTTCAATCGATAACTGGAACAAACAAGAAACATGAATATGCCACATAGAAATATCACAAGCATGCGACTTTGTGTACATAAAATACATTCTTTTCTCTTCCGAAACATTCTTAGCTTGTCATTTAGAAACCCAAATAACAACTACGGAACTGATAATCTCAGCGACAAGCACCCTAGCAGGTAATTTTCATTTCTTAACGTACCCCTCTTAACCCTCCTAACATACCCTCAAACTTTGCCAGTTCGCAGATGTCACCTTCAGGGGTATACGTGTGCAATAACTTACGAGCTGGATATGCTTTGGTGGAGAGATGGAAGTTTTGCTGAAGAGGTGAATTGTTTAAGAATTGAAAAACTCGATTTGCCCATCTATTTTACACCGAGTGCAAACGCTATTTGTTCCACAGTTACTCACGTCAACAAATTATTTTGGAAAGTTCATGTCAATGCAAAAGTTGTTCAGCTACTGTCACTCAAAGGTTATTTAATAATTGATTGTATGGGCACACTAATAAGCACCTTAGGAATCCAATATTTCTAAAACTCGATTTAATCAACTGCTGATTACTAAGTTTTTCGAAAAGCAAAATTATGTCATTCGGTATAGATAAATGCAGTGAACAGCTTTTGCATTGACAGAAACTTACCAAAATAATTCGTTGACGCGGGTAACTGCGAAAGAAATAGCTTTTGCACTAGATGCAAAATAGCTGGGAAATTCGAGTTTTTCAATTCTTAAACAATTCACCTCTTCAGCAGAACTTATGCAGCACGTGAGTTATTGTACACGTATACCGTTGAAGGTGTCTTCTCTCCATAATATACATTCTTTTCTTTTCCTGAACATTCTGAGCTTGTCGTTTAGGATCCCAAACAACCACGACAACGATAATCTCAACGACAAGCGTCCGAGCAGGTAATTTTCAGTTCTCACGGATGACACCCTGAGGCATGCCACAATTGAGGGATATGAGGCTCTTGAGCGTTTTGCACGCCAACGAGAGGAATGTTGTTTTCTCACTCACTCTCACGCCTCATCCTTACTCCCGCGTCCCACTCGCAATAGGCTCCGATTGCTGTTTACATGCTAACATGAAGTGCTATGCGGTGCACGTTGAGCTAAGTATATCGTTGAGGTCGATAAAATTCTTCCCGAATCTAACCGGAACTGGACCAGATTCTTGCAGAATCACAGCAGAATTGAACTACAATCTGCCGATTCGCAGAGAGTGTCTAAGTGTAAACGATTATAACCCTCTACAGATCACGTCTACGAATTGGCAGATTCTGGTTTAATTCAGCTGTAGCTCTGCCAGAATCTGGCAGGACCAGAATTAAATTTCTATCCGAATTCAACCCGATTGTGAACAGAATGTTAGGAACAGCATACCTTTGAATGTGTCGAATTCTGCCCGTTCTAGCAATTTCCACGGAATTGTAGAACTGGACACTGCTGAAATTTACTATGTACGTGAAAGAAGGGAGCAAACTCTCACAGTCAGAGATCTAGCGGTGTAAAATCGACCGACGAGTGCGAGGTGATTGCACCATTTTTGTAGGTACAATTTGACAGAATCATTTACTTCTGCTCTACACAAGATCAGAGGAAGAAAGCGTTTTGTCGGTAGGGCTACTCACTAGTACCCTCCCCATAATAGAAGACCATCCCCTATTAGAAGACCACTGCCGATTATAGACTTGATGCCAAATAGAAGTCTCACTTGCCTTACACTACTGACAAGTAGTGATGTGGTTTTAAAGTGTAGAGTCAAATTTAAAAGCTTAGTAGGATTTTTTCAACTTTATTTTAAGATGAGTTGATACTCCTTGCCTAGGACTCAGGTGGATATAAAAATCAAGCTCTTTCTAGGACCTTGGGTGTCTCAAAACTCTGTGAAAAAAACACACAATTGCAGTTGATTTATGAATGGCTACAAATGGCGTGAAAATTACAAAAACATTCCAATGAAAAAGCATTATAGACAGCCAGGAGATATCTTATTTTCCTCAGAATGCCATGCTCTATCGGGCTATGTGGTTCGCAGAGTTTTCTGACCAAAAACCAAGGACTTAGTTTTCCAGCGGTCAAGTTTTCCAGAAACCCTATTATCAACTTTTCCTATGAATCGGCAATATGCACCTCATCTGATAGAAGATTCTTCGGGCAATTCAAAACAGTATTCAGATTGGTTCCAGCTTTTACTAAAAAGTCAAAAATAAAGGAGTTCTTGTGATTATGACATATGGTACAGCATAGATAGCACTCAAACGCTTCTTTTCGATATCCTTAATGGATATCCATATCAGGATATCCATCCATCTGTGTGGATATTCTGACCAGCTCACTTTGTAGAGAATTTCAAGGGCTACCCAATAGTATGTTTTTGAAAAATACATAATTGTTCATTATGGCAGACAAATGACTACAGGAGTGTTTAAATTACTAAGATAGGTGAAAACCATTATATCGGCCAAGTATTTCGACTATTGACCCATGTAGGCGTATCTTTGAAAGACTAAGTCATAGCTCATTTTGAAGCCCGTAAAATTCTCCATTGAATGATACATATATTTCCATGCGAAACGTCGAATTGACACGAGATTGAGGACGAGATGATGGAAAATCATCGTTTTCCCTATGTCAAAACAGCATATGTCAGATGGTCTTTCAGAGAGATGAACCCTTGGACAGACTCGATTTGCCTCAAAACTAGATAGGATTGTAGCGCTCGAGTTGGGGCAGTTTTCTATTGCAAAGACACTTGGCACTAATTGGTTATTCGAAGAGAACGGGCCTGGACAAAAGTCTGAAAACTACCGCAAGTGATGTATCTCGAGCGCATTGAATATAATTCACTCCGCGTGTTTCGAACAAGAAACTACCTGAGAGGGCGCGTTATATCACGTTTTGTAGACAATTGAAAACTGCAAGTAAGTAGGAAATTACCTTGGATAAAGATGCAAGGAAAGACAAAAAGAATTGGTCGGTGAGTTAGCTGACCGATGAAGAAAATGCACTTACCAGCGAATACTATTCGGCCCGCGGGGTTCTCAGTAGACACTTACTTGAAAACCGTGTCTGATGGACTAAACGCTGCAGAATTTCAAGCTCTATCTTCCTAGATAACTGAGATCGAAAACTAGAGGGTGGCACATTTGGGCTCTTATTCGACGGTGTCCTTTGAAAAACTAGAAAGAATTTCGAAGAGCGGTTAGCTTATATCACTTATATATGTAGTTCGAATAATACCACCGACTATAATGATTCTCCTTCAGGCCAATGGAACTCTGCACCAAGCATGGTGATAGCACGTTATTATCATACTGCAACCCTTCTCAATTCGGGGCAAGTTCTTGTCACCGGTGGTCTGAAAACATTGGCCGTTGTTACTGCTAGTTCCGAAATATATGATCCATCATCGGGCAAATGGAACTCTACTACAAGCATGGCAACAGCACGCCAGACACATACTGCAACGCTGCTCAATTCGGGCCAAGTTCTTGTCACTGGTGGGGCGAATACATCATCCATTAATATTGCTACTTGTGAAATATATGATCCATCAACGGGCAAATGGAACTCTACTACAAGCATGGCAATAGCACGTTATCTCCATACTGCAACGTTGCTCAATTCGGGCAAGGTTCTTGTCACTGGAGGTTACGGACTGTCCAGTCCGTTTGCTAGTTGTGAAATATATGATCCATCAACGGGCAAATGGAACTCTACTACAAACATGGCAACAGCACGTTATCTCCATACTGCAACGCTGCTCAATTCTGGCAAAGTTCTTGTCACTGGTGGGGTGAATGCATTATCCTATATTACTGCTAGTTGTGAAATATATGATCCATCAACAGGACTATGGAACTCTGCACCAAGCATGGCAACAGCACGTTATCTCCATACTGCAACGCTGCTCAATTCTGGCAAAGTTCTTGTCACTGGTGGTCTGAATACATCGTTGTTGAGTACTCCTAGTTGTGAAATATATGATCCATCAACGGGCAAATGGAACTCTGCCACAAGCATGGCAACAGCACGTGAGCTCCATACTGCAACCCTGCTCAATTCTGGCAAAGTTCTTGTCACTGGTGGGGTAGCTGGATCGTCTGTTACTGCTACTTGTGAAATATATGATCCATCAGCGGACCAATGGAACTCTACTACAAACATGACGATGATACGTGAGATCCATACTGCAACTCTGCTCAATTCGGGGAAAGTTCTTGTCACTGGCGGTTGGGGATCGACCGGTTATCTTGCTAGTTCTGAAATATACAATCCGTAAATCTTCTCTTTTGTTTCCCTTCACATAGGCTTAAGGGGAAATGTTGAACCTTCTTATTATTCTCGCTGCTTTTGCTATTCAATGTTCACAAAGTTCTTTTCAAGATTTTCTAGTTGTTTTTCTTACTTTTGCTCAAAATAAACTCTGAGAAAATATTGGCACACTAAATTAGTTCATGTCTAGTTTCGAGCTGATATTTCAGGTATGTTTCTACTAGATTGTGAGAGTGTGCTTGAGTTCTGAAAACTACGATCAGTGAATCTTCTATGGTTTCTCTTCGTATAGATCCAAGAGGAAGTGTTGAATAAAGCGATTCAGCACGCCTAGGGAAAGTACCGTCTGTCCGGGTTATTCATGATTTAAAGCTGTTTTAGAACATGTTTGCCGGGTTTTCTAGGTTTTCTGAGTAACTGTAGTCCTCTTAGACGATAAAAAACAAAGAGAAGAAAATATAATCAACTATAGAGATCAAGTGTACCGCTTTCAGTCTTCTTCTCTTTTGATCTTAAAAAAAGCGAGTTTTCGAGACAAGCAGTCTATAGAAAAGAACAAACTTTCTATTTTAATCTATATATTCATTTATTCAATGTCCGAAAGAACCAGTGCTCATCCAATATTTCGCTAACTTCTCAGATTAAAATTAAATTAACTAGAGAAGGTTCATCTCCACTTCTTATACTAGTTTGAAGTACAGACGTTGTACTACATACTGATCTAATTTCTAGAAAAAGACCCTTTTTAGTTTTTCAGATATGTGGCTCTCAATATCGATGATTAGCAGCTAGAACAACGCTTTTTGACTATCATGACTTTCCGGCTTTCTCTTCGGGTCATGATAGTCAGAGGTAATGTGTGTTCAAACGGGTAAAAACCATTATGAAGTCAAAATCAATTTTAGGGCCAGTCAGAAGTACCGAAGTTGTACTATCTGCCTGCTGAGCTATATTTTAGAAAAAAGATACATTTTGCTTTCTTTGAAAGCGGGCTGTCAATATCACAGCTAAACATAAGGAACATATATACTTTTTATTGTCATCGTTGATAGATGTATGAGGATTTATATGTGTAAGGTTCTCGAATACAAATCGTGTACAAATTTTATATCGGTAGAGTACAAGTATACAAGATTGTTGATAAGCTCTTAATCAGTTTCGTATAAGCCTGTCAAAATGTATCAACTAGATCGAAGAGTAACTGAGCGTTTCAGAATATATTCCGATCGGTCGTTACTCCGATCCTTAGGTCGGTATAGGTACGATATGACATAATTTAGCACTGGTTTATACGTAACTGTCTTATTTCTAATTGCATAAATATATAACTACTTCTGTATGTATGTTGAACTTGTGTATGTTGAACTTTATATAAAAAAGATCAAACTTTCTATTTTAATCTATGCATTCATTTATGTCCATATAAAATTCATTCTTTTCTTAATTTCTTATCTTTTATATCTATCTATGTAGATCTAAAATAAAATTGACTGTCCCTTTCTGATTTTTATGCTGGTTTCAAGTACCCAAGTTATACTCTGTGCCGAGCTATATTTTAGAAAAAGATTCTTTCTCAGATAAATTTTATGTGCCAAATAATGAAAAAGAAGCAAATTTTATTCCGGTAGATTACAAGCATACAAAATTGTTTATAAGCTCTTAATCATTTTCATACAAGCCTGTCACAATGTATCAATTAGATAGAAGACTAATTATTTCCTATTTGCTTCAGAACATCTTGAACCATATTCGAACAATGAAAATTTGGACGTATGTTCATACTGACTAAACTAAATGTTCGACGAAAATAGTATTTCTTCTCTTATATTGAGTTTAACAGAACAACCGTCGTATATCCATGTTGTGTACTCCATTTGATGGTTGATTGCTCATTTTTTCTTATTTTTTGCACATAAAATTTATCTGAGAAAGTATGTTTTCTAAAATATAGCTCGGCACAGAGTACAACCTGAGTACTTGAAACTAGCATAAAAAGCAGAGGCGGATAATTCTAGTCAATATTTACACTACAGGGAGGCTCACTGGAAACTTATTTCGTATTCCAGCAACTTCGCGAACAAAATCTACACTGATTAGGGAAGACCCATTTCCATCTTTTGTACTAGTTTTTATGTTAGTTCCTTGCTCGACTTCCAGAGACTTCTTTTACTTGTCTCGAAAACTTGCTTTTTTAGACAATAATTAACGATATTCACGGTCATATATCATTAAAACTAAAAGGGATCGTTTTCTAAAAAATAGATCAGGACCATCTACAACTCGTGTACTTTAAACTAATATATAAGGATGGAAATAGGTCATCTCTAATTAGTGTAGATTTAGTTCGCGAAGTTGGTACGAAATAAGTTTACAGCGAGTACTCTTCTCCATGAATATATAAAAGATGAATATTTGATGGAAACATAAAATTTGTTACTTTCTGATTTTATTCTTTAAACAGAAAAACGTCTGCTCTTATAAAGATATCTGTTAAAAAAACGAACATATTCGAAGTATATATATGTCAATGTATGTATCCACAATAAAATCAAA